ACATGATATGCTACAATCTCAGCAAGGAGGGCAAATACTCTATATATAAGGATATAAAGCATTTTGCCTTTTTATGTAGAAAACTATTTGGATTCTCTTCACAGTTAACATTTATGCATTTTTCCTCGATAAACAAGTTATAATCTTACATGGGGATGCAGCATCGTGCTCTGGCGATAACATCATCTTATTCTTGCGGCTCAGTATCGCATTGTGGCGATGCAGCATCGCGTTGTGACAAACCAGCATCTCGAATCCCCCGTTCAGGCATTGGTTGTAACTGAATTATTGTAAAAACGTAACGCACTGTGATTGGATAGTAATTCATCGTCCACAGTCGCAGAATGTTCTGACATTGTCGCTTGTTATGGAGTTCGACCAACATCATTGATACTCAAAGTATGCCCGGAGCATTTTGCAAACGTACTCGACCGACTATTTTGCAGTATAGTAACTACATGTAATGTTTTTCCTTGTTATAAGCACAATCAGGAGACAAAGCGACACCAGCACCTCACCCACATATACCCAACAGAACAGAATAAATACTAAAACAATTGGATATAAATTTGGGAATATTAAACCTTAACCCTTGATTTGGAAATATTAACGAATTGGCCAACATCATACATACTCAAATTATGCCTGGAGCGTTTTGCATTCGTAAACAACCGACAATTTCTCATTATAATGCGTGCGTTAATTTTCTATTTGTTTATAAGCACAAATACGAAAAAAGGGTGCCACTAACACCTCACCCAAATAAACATCTGGAAATAAAAAAAGAAATAAAATAAAAACCTTCGGTAAGCTGAACGCACTCTAGGAGAATCAACCCTAAACATGGGAAGCCATACAGTATTTAGGGTTGATGCCTTCCCCCTTTTGCCTGCATTTCTCCAATTTGATTTATTTTATTTGTGGTTCTTTACGGAAGTCTCGCTCCGACGCAAGGGCGCGTAAATGAAACTTTAGGGTAACCCATGTCAGGGCGCTTCCACGTGCAAGGGGTTACGCATTCTCTTTGACACCTCGACTCAATCGTTTGTATTTCCGTTCAGTATTCGCGTTCTGTTTCTGCCACATCTCGAACGTGTGATTAGAGTGGATAGTGTGAATGAAAAGGGGGGGACAATCGGCTTTGAGAATCGGGGGTTGAGTACGAATTCAAAACGCTCCGGGCATAATTTGAGTATGTATGATGTTGGCCGTTATGGAGTTCATTGCCTCACATCCGGCCATTATCTCTGATACTCAAATTTTGCCTGAGAGCGTTCTCAGGTGTAATCAAGCGAACAGTAAGCCTAGCAGTGGCACTGTTCTCAGCAGAAATTTGTCTTGGCGCGCCACCCCCGCAGCTTCACCAGTTGACCCACGTTGGCTCACTACAGTGTAGGCATGTCAGAAGCGAATCTCACACCACGCACACAACTGGCCCCAAATCGAGCCCCAAACCAAAGCGCCAACCAAAGCCACCTCCCTTCCCCCCCCCCCCGTCCCCCCCCCCCCCCCCCGCCGACCCCAAACGAACCTGCGGGAACCAAACCAATTCCTTCCTCCCCCTCCCCCCAACCCATCCCACCCCCTCTTGTGCTGATCTCACTTCTGTCCAAGTCCCTCACTGTCGTCGTGACTGTCACGCATCAAGGACAGATAGCAAACCCTAAAGTTAGGTCTCCTCTCCTCGTTTCCTACAAACGTGGCAGAAAGTCTAACATTCGTAGAGTAGAATACATGTTGTTTTGTTTGAAGCATCATTGACCAATACTAGAAGGTACGAAACTCTTTTTTATTTCCAATGGAATTTTCATCTTAATGTCTCACTTACGAAGGACAAATGGTCCATAAAATAGCAGCAGGGTGGTCATTCTACAACTGTAAGTGTCTCGTTCTCCTTGTGGTAAAATCATACAATATGCCCATGGTAACCATTTGGTGAAAGACGGTATGCTTGACGCCACTCCTAAGAACCGATATTTCTACAATGTCTTACGCTACTTTTTCTTGTCCTAAGTCCACACGCCCTAGGGCGCCAACTCTTACTTGTTGGATCAGGCCGATATATTGTTCCAGCTGTTAGGTGATAATAACACCGGCATTAATTGCAAGAGTTTGCTTGTTCCACCCGCCCCTTGCCCTCCTTCCGCCCTCTAATTCTTTTTGCAGATGGATAACCACAGCAACACACTGGACTTTGTTAAAGGAAAGCGCTACGGCACCGTTATTGAGGCTCGGGATGACATCGGCGAGCAATGTCATCGATTGCGGGTGCCCTTCGTCATCTCTCAGAATACAACAAAAAGGTTAGATGTGAGGTGTCCTTCAGTTGTTAGTCGTTCCACTAGGGGTCCTGTGCAAGCGACCGCTCTTGGCTTCCATTGTCCTTTCAAAATCAACATACGGACCACAAGCATTGGCGACCTGCGAGTTACTGATACACACCTACTGCACCATATTCGATGCACAGCTCGTCCTCGCCCTGCCCATAGGAAACAACTGACTGCGCTTGCAATGGCATTGCCAACAAGAAGCTTAACGCCAACTGATCTGAAAAATGAAATGCAACAGCGCTATGGGGCAAAATCATCATATGTAAAAGCATGGCGAGCCCTTAGGGACCTGAAAGAGAATGATCCATTGCAAACCGAAAAATCCTACGAGTTCGTCCAGAGCACAATGGAGCGGCTAGTGTCATATAACCCTGGTACTTTGGTGTATCTCAGCAGACGAGAGGGTCGTTTTCTTAGTGCTTGTGTGATACCGAATGTTGCGCGGTCTACGATGTTGAATACTGTACCGATTCTGATTTTTGACGGATGTCACAATAAAACTATATGGGGGGGGCACACCATCAACCTTGTAGTTCTTGATGGGATGGGCATTATGTGTCGGTGGGCATAGCTTTTGTTGAGTCTGAAAGTGAGGAAGGATGTTCTTTGCCGTTGAGACTGCTTCTCCGCGTATTTCCTGAGTTGAAACACGACCTGGATGGGATGCTGCATGTCGTGCTGTGCTTCCCAATGCACACATTTCGTATTGTCTGACTCACCTGACACGCAACTTCAAGGCGAAATTTGGGCTCGATTTGAGTCAACTCATTAGGGATGCATCCGAGTCATTGACGGAGGGGTTGTACGAGTTTCGTATGGGAAAAAAAGAAGCACTTTGTCCGGGTGGTCGAGCGTATTTGGAGGGGGAGGATGGGCAATTGGCTAAAAAATGGGCAACAGCCAAATTTCCAAGGCCAAGGTTTGGGTGTCTTACATCCAACCCTGTTGAGTCTCAGCACGCATCTATGTCTACATTGCGGGATAAGGTCATTGCCTTTGACATTTTGAGTTGGGTGCTGAGACTCGCACTAACACGGCACGATCGCTTTACGGCATACTCCAAGGCCTCAGGAGAATGGAGCACAACGGCAACGGAAGTTGTGCGTGCCAACTTCAATGATTCTGCAAGCTACTCTGTGCGTGCGCTTCCACAAGGGCGTTGGTTGGTGGAGCACTCGGAACGCAATGAGACTCAAATTGTGGACCTTACAGCCAAGACATGTACGTGCAACTACTCCAGGTATGATATAGGGGCTGCTAACGTGTTGAACTAACAGTTCCAATTGCATACTTTGCTTAGCTGTATCCTTATCTTTGTTAATGTCCAAGAGTTCAATACATTCACACACACGTTGTTGTCTTAACCCCAAATCTCTTGCAGGGAATACGGATTACCCTGTGTTCACATTTTTGCGGCATCGGGAGAAGATAGGCTGCCATTCGACCTAGTGCATCTAGTCTACAAAGTGCAGATGCTCAAGGCTATGTATTCTCAAGGGATTGTACCCTTGGATCCAACTTCTTGCACTCCCGATCGCACCACTCTTCCACAGAAAAATAAGAAAAGAACTGGACGCAGAAAAACAAAGCGGATTCGCTCAAGAGGTGAGTTTTGTCAAACTATATGTATATGTTATAATTATATGTAGGCTGTAGTGGGGTAGCCAATGTGGGGTATAGGGTTTGTTACTTGTACCCAACTCTCTCGATAGTCCAACTCATTCCTTCCCTTTACTCTCGACATGGTATTAAGAGCAAATAGGTCCTTAGGACCGTTTTAGGACCGTTTTTCAGGGCCCACCAACCGCTTCCGCCGGTTACCGCGTTACCCCGCGCCCTGCCTACCCTGCCCCGCGTCGCGCAGCCCCGCGCTCGCCTCTGCTAGCCCACGCGCAGCCCGCTAGAAGCCCGCCCACTGCCTCGTCAGCCCCGCGCGCCGCCCGTGCAGCCCGCCCGCTGCCTCGTCAGCCCCGCGCGACGCCAGCGCAGCCCGCCCGCTGCCTCGTCAGCCCCGCGCGCTGCCCACCAGCTGCCTCGTCAGCCCCGTGCGCCCCCCGCGCAGCCCGCCCGCTGCCTCGTCAGCCCCGTGCGGCCCCGGTGCAGCCTCTGAAAGCCCGCGCGCTGCCCTTTGCCGCCCACAAGCTGTCCTTGCCGCCCTTGTGCTTTCCCGGCTGCTCCTTACCTGCGCTGCGATTATGGCGACACTCAATGTCCTCGCGTTTGAGCCTGTCGGTCGCCCGATAGAATTCGCCACTTGGCTCGATGACCTGCAACTGCTCCTAATGACCGATGCCAAAGACGGTGTTTCCCTGTTCGATCACGCGTCTGGCTCCTCAATTACTCCTGCTGACACCGCTGAAGCTCTCGCTTGACCGCTCACAGTGGCAGACTCGCGATGCTGCTGCGCGCCTCGCTATTCGCAACCATCTGCCGATCACTGAGCGCGCGCACTTTAGCCAGCACAAGACCGCTAAGGCACTGTACACCGCTGTAGTTGCCCGCTACTCTTCCCCAGCCATTGCAGCCCTGGGCCGTCTTATCCTACCCTACCTGTTCCCCGACCTGTCCTCGTTTACCACCGCTGAGGACCTCATCTCTCACCTTCGCGCTAGTGACGCTCGCTTTCGTGCCGCCCTTCCAGACGAGTTCCTCGCCGAGAACCCACCCCCGATGTACTTTACTCTCTACTTCCTCGTCACCCGCCTCCCTGACACTCTTCGCTCAGTCAGGGACCACTTTCTCGCCCTAGACCCTACCACCCTCATTGTCGACGACATCGAGCAGCAACTCCTAGTGGCGGAGAAGAGCATTGTCGCTATAGGTACTGCTCGTGGCACTCCTCGCACTCCCCTCTTTGAGGGGTGCTCCCCCTCCCCTCTTGCCCCCTCCTACGCCTCTGCTGCTGCTGCTGTCGACCTCCTTGGTGCTGAGGAGGTCGAGGCTGCTTCCACTCCTAGTGGGACGCGCCGCGGCGCCAAGGGCAAGGGCGGCAGGGGTGGTGGAGGTGACGGCGGAGGGGGCGGTAGTGGAGGAGGCGGGGGAGGTGGAGGTGGCGGGGGTGGTTGTGGAGGTGGAGGTGGTGGAGGGGGAAGCGGTGGTAGCGGGAGCGGTGGAGGTGGCAGCGGCGGTAGTGGGGGAGGAGGGAGTGGTGGTGGCGGCGGTGGTGGGGGCTGGAATGGAGCCGGCCAGAAGGGGGGCTCCAGTGGTGACCAGGGGCAGCAGCAGCAGCAGTAGCAGCAGCAGCAGCAGCAGCAGCAGCAGCCGCAGCAGCACCAGCAGCAGCGTCAGCGTGCGACCCCCACGCCTCAGCAGCTTCGTGACTGGTACGCTCAGCGTGGGGCGTCTGGGGGTCCTGGTCGCTGCCCGTATGTTATTCGCACAGGTGCCCGCAAGGGTCAGACATGCGGCAAGTTTCACACTGAGTACCGCTGTTTCTCTCGGCTTGACGACGCCTGGCGCACCCAGTTTCCTGCCGCCACTGAGCTTCCCTGCTGGGCAGACCTGCTTAGGCGTGATGTTCCTATCTTTGATCTTGACTATGATGCGATTCTTGCTGCCATGTATGCATTGACTGTTAGTGCTGAGGGTGACTGCTACTTGTGTGTCCCGCCTGACCCAGGTATAGAGACTGCAGCCCTAGGTGCTAGTGAGTCTACTCTCCCTGGTACTGCGTCTGCTCAGGCCTTGCACACCATTACACTTGACTCAGGTGCTTCCCGCTGCTTCTTTCGCGACAGTACCACAGTCACTCCCCTCCCTACACCCGTCCCTATCTCACTGGCTGACCCCTCTGGGGGCCCAGTGCTTGCTCGCTCCTCCACTGTGCTCCCGTGTCCGGCGGTCCCGTCCGGTGAGCTGTCAGGTCTCCACATCCCCTCGTTCTCTACGAACCTGGTGAGCAACGCGTCCTTCAAGATCATGAGTGGGTTGACACCTTCACCCCAGGAGGACAGCGTGTGGCGATCTGCACGTGCTCTAGGACAGGCCGCCACCTGGCCACGTTCACACGTGCGCCTGGGTCCAGTCTGTACACCCTCACCACTGTGTCGCGCTACACCCCTTTGTCTCCTCAGCTGTACGCGTCCGCTCAGGTAGCTACCCAGTGTGAGTGTCGCCGTCTGTCGCACCAGACTCTCCTCTGGCACCACCGCCTTGGTCACCCCTCCCTGCCGCGCCTTCGTGGCATGCACTCTCGCCTCCTAGTCTCTTGTCTTCCCAGGTCCTCGCCCACTCTCCCACCCTCGCCTACGCCGCCCTGCATTCCTTGCGTCGAGGGGCGGCAGCGCGCCGCTCCTCACTCCTCCTCGTTCCCTCCGACAGAGGCTCCTCTGCAGACTCTCCACCTGGACGTGTGGGGCCCAGCCCGCGTCCAGGGACAGGGCCGCGAGCGGTACTTCCTGCTGGTCGTCGACGACTACACGCGCTACACCACGGTCTTCCCCTTGCGCAGCAAGGGGGACGTCCCTGCGGGTTTGATCCCTTGGATCCGCGCTGTTCGTCTCCAGCTCCGCGAGCGGTTCCACTCGGACTTTCCTGTCCTGCGTCTGCACTCTGACAGAGGTGGTGAGTTCACCTCCGACCTCTTGCGAGCTTTCTGTGAGGAGGAGGGCATCCTCCAGTCGTTCACACTTCCGGCCTCCCCGCAGCAGAATGGGGTTGCTGAGCGCCGCATTGGCTTAGTCATGGAGGTCGCTCGTACCTCCATGATCCATGCGGCTACTCCCCATTTTCTGTGGCCATTTGCGGTCCGGTACGCCGCGCATCAGCTCAACCTATGGCCCCGTGTCTCCGTGCCGGAGACCTCGCCCACACTGCGTTGGACGGGGGAGGTTGGTGATGCGTCGCGATTCCGGGTCTGGGGTGCTCGTGCCTTTGTCCGCGATCCCACCGCGGACAAGCTCTCCGCTTGCGCCATTCCCTGCGTCTTCCTTGGCTTTCCCCCTGACGCGCCTGGCTGGCAGTTTTACGACCCCGCCTCGCGCCGTGTCTTCAACGTCTCAGGATGTCACCTTTGACGAGTCGGTCCCCTTTTACCGTCTCTTTCCCTACCGCACTGCCCCTCTCCCCCCCCCGCCGCTCTTCCTTGCTCCAGGTCCCCCTCCGGTAGACCCCCTCCCCCCTCAAGGTCCTGCTCCTTCAGGTGTGTCTCAGGTAGACCCTCCTCCCTTGACTGAGCCGGTTGAGGTCACTGGTGACTCAGGTGCTGCTGGGGGTGGTCCTGCTCGGGGTGCTGCTTCTGGGGGTGCTGAGCCTGGGGGTGCGGAGCCTGGGGGTGCTGAGCCTGAGGGTGCGGAGCCTGGAGGTGCTGAGCCTGGGGGTGCTGGGCCTGGGGGTGCTGAGCCTGGGGGTGCTGAGCCTGGGGGTGAGGAGTCTGGGGGTGCTGAGTCTGGGGGTGCTGAGCTTGGGGGTACTGAGGCTGCTGGTGAGCAGTCTCCTTGGAGCGGCCGCCTACGTAGTCGCACCGCTGGTGCCTCACCGCGGCACTCTTATCGGCGTGAGCCTCTCTCCCCACAGCAGCTGCGTGAATGGTATGCTCGCCGTCAGGGTCGCGCTGCTGGAGCTGGGGGCCCTGCTGCGGGAGGCGCTGGCGTTGGAGGCACTGGAGCTGGGGACTCTGCCATTGGAGGCGCTTCTGCTGACGTTACTGGAGCTGGGGGTGCCGAGTCTGAAGGTGCCGAGGGTGAGCGTACTGAGCCTGGGGGTGCTGCATCGGAGCGTGCTGAGCCTGGAGGTACTTTGTCTACTGGAGGTGCTGGAGTAGCTGGTCCCAGAGGTGCTCGTACTGGAGGTACTGGAGCTGCTGGGGTTGGAGGAGCTGCTGGACCTGGAGGTGCTACTGGACCTGGTGGTACTGGGGGTGCTGCTGCTGGAGGTACTGAGGCTGGAGACCCTGGAGCTGGAGGTGCCAGTTCTGGGGGTGCTGCTACTGGAGGTACTGGAGTTGGAGAGCCTGGAGCTGGAGGTTCTAGAGCTGCTGGAGGCGCTGGAGCTGGAGGTTCTGGAGCTGCTGGAGGTGCTGGCGCTACTGGTGCTGGTCACACTGCACAGCCGCGCCTGTTCTTCGCTCCGCCGTCGCCGTCGTCTCTGCCACCACCTGACTCCGTGCTTCGCCAGGTTCTTAGCCTCCCGTCTTCTACTGGTCTCCTGTTACAGCCAGGCTCCCCTTTGCCTGCTCTCTCTCCTTACAGTGCGCAAACTGAGTTGCTTACAGAGCGGCGTGAGCCTGCGTCTCGTCCACTGTTTGCACTGGTCGCACTGGTCGTCGTGTTCCTCGTCCGCGTCCTCCTCCTGTCCCTGGCACGCACACTATGGCACTTTGTCCTTCCTCTGTTCCACAGCGTGGTTCCCTGCCGTCTCCTCCTGCGTCCTCAATTCCGCACGTTCCGGACCCTGAGTCTGACCTAGTTCGTGCTGCTCACCCTACTGTCACGCGTCTGTTGGAACCTGTTGTCACTGACCCTTCCTTTGAGTCTGCTGCTGCGTCTGCCTTGGTCGCTGAGCTTGTAGACTTTGCTGCTGCTTGTCGTCTCGACTACGCCTCTAGTCTTGTTGCTGAGTCTGAGTCTGTCTGTCCTCCGTCCGTCGAGGGTGAGTGTGCTCTTGGCACGGACGTCCTTGAGGACAGGTAGGAGGACTTTGAGTGTCTTGCAGCCGCTGTACCTCATCTCGTGGCCATGCTGCTTGCCCCTGAGGGAGACCCAGATGCACCAGACATCCCGACCCCGCGCACTTACGCTGAGGCGATCGCGGGTGATACTCCTCTCAGTGGCAGACAGCCATGGACACAGAGATGGCATCCTGGAAGTCCACAGGCACTTACATCGACGCACTTCCCCCTCCCGGGGCGAACGTAGTCGATGGCATGTGGATTTTCAGGGTGAAGCGGCCGTCGCGTTCTCCGCCTGTCTTCAAGGCTCGTTACGTTGCACGAGGCTTCAGTCAGCAACAGGGAGTTGACTTCTTCCAGACCTTCTCCCCCACCCCAAAGATGACCACTCTTCGGGTACTGTTGCACGTTGCCGCTCAGCGTGACTACGAGCTTCACTCTCTGGACTTCAGCACAGCGTTCTTACAGGGCAGTCTGCACGAGGAGATCTGGCTGTGCCGCCCGCCTGGCTTCATTGAGTCGTTCCCTCCTGGTACCCAGTGGAGCCTCCGTCGGCCAGTCTACGGTCTCCGTCAGGCGCCTCGTGAGTGGCACGACACACTGAGGATGACACTTGCGGCTCTTGGGTTTGCCCCTTCCACTGCTGACCCGTCGCTGTTTCTGCGCACCGACACTTCGTTGTCGCCGTTCTACATCCTCGTGTACGTCGACGACTTGGTCTTTGCCACTGCTGACACTGAGGCTCTCGCCCTTGTGAAGTCCGAGCTGCAGAAGAGACACACGTGCACAAACCTGGGTGAGCTGCGCAGCTACCTTGGCTTGCAGATCACTCGGGACAGAGCACGGCGCACCATCACCTTGACCCAGTCACACATGGTGCAGCAGGTCCTTCAGCGCTTCGGCTTCACTTGGTCCTCGCCATAGTCCACTCCTCTGGCTACAGGTCACTCGCTCTCAGCTCCACCTTTGGACGAGTCCGTACAGCCGAGTGGTCTGTAGCCAGAGCTAGTGGGCTGCCTCATGTACCTGATGACCTGCACTCGTCCTGACCTTGCGTACCCTCTTGGCCTTCTGGCACGCTACGTGGCTCCTGGTAGGCACCGAAAGGTGCACTGGGAAGCTGCGAAGAGGGTACTGCGCTACTTGTGCAGTACATCGGGCATGGGGCTCGTGCTTGGAGGGCGGAGTCCAGTTGTCCTCACTAGGCACTCGGACGCTTCTTGGGTCGACGACCTGGCTACGCAGCGGTCGTCACAGGGTTACACGTTCAGCCTTGGCTCAGGCTCTGTTTCTTGGCGGTCTACTCGCTCGTCTTCTGTTCTCAGCTCCATTTGTGAGGCTGAGATCTACGCCACAGCCATGGCTGCACAGGAGTTACGTTGGCTCACCTACTTGCTGACTGACTTGGGAGAGAGGCCTCGTTCTCCTCCAGTTCTGTACGTTGACAACAAGGCTGCCATTGCCTTGTGTCAGGACCACAGACTGGAGCACAGAACGAAGCACATCGCTCCGCGTTACTTCCTTGCTCGAGAGTTGCAGCAGCGTGGTCAGCTTCGTGTCGCTCACGTGCCCACCCGGGCCAACACAGCTGATGTGTTCACCAAGGCCCTTCCGGCTGGTGATCATCAGCGCTTCTGCACTGCTCTAGGCCTGGTGCCTACGTTTCCTCACTTGTTGTAGACTTTGCTTATACTGTGATCTACATATATATACCTGCATGCTTACTCTTGCTAGGTAGTGATCACTGTACTGCTGTTGTTGCATATATACCTCTGCATGTGAACTGGCCTTGTGGCCCTTTGCTTGTGCTCGGTGTGTGTGGTGACGTTGTGATCCACCCCGAGCTTGCTTTGCTTTTCTTGACTGGTCTTGTGACCCCTTGTTCTCCCCCACTTTGCCTATGGGGGTTTGTCAAACTATATGTATATGTTATAATTATATGTAGGCTGTAGTGGGGTAGCCAATGTGGGGTATAGGGTTTGTTACTTGTACCCAACTCTCCCAATGGTCCAACTCATTCCTTCCCTTTACTCTCGACAAGTTTGACCCTCTAAAGTTGCGAAAATGCAGTAGGTGCAAGAGGAAGGGGCATAACGTGCGCACATGTGAGGATCGGGAAGAGGCACGGGCACGGAGAGGACCAAGGTCGGTTCGGGACCACATTGCCCTTCAAACTGGTGTAGTTCTACGGGTCGGGGGAACGTACATTGCATGCACTGGATGTGGGCGTCGGCACAGGTTCAGAGACAACTGCCGTCGACGCGAGCAGCAGGGAAGGGGGCAGTAGTAGGGAAGGGAGCAGCAGCTGGGAAGGGGGCAGCAGCAGGGAAGTGGGCAGCAGCAGGGAAGTGGGCAGCAGCAGGGAAGTGGGCAGCAGCAGGGAAGTGGGCAGCAGCAGGGAAGTGGGCAGCAGCAGGGACATGTGCAGCAGCAGGGAAGTGGGCAGGGGCAGGGAAGTGGGCAGCAGCAGGGAAGGGGGCAGCAGCAGGGAAGGGGGCAGCAGCAGGGAAGGGAGCAGCAGCAGGGAAGTGGGCAGGGGCAGGGAAGTGGGCAGCAGCAGGGAAGTGGGCAGCAGCAGGGAAGTGGGCAGCAGCAGGGAAGGGAGCAGCAGCAGGGACATGTGCAACAGCAGGGAAGTGGGCAGCAGCAGGGAAGTGGGCAGCAGCAGGGACATGCGCAGCAGAAGGGAAGTGGGCAGGGGCAGGGAAGTGGGCAGCAGCAGGGAAGGAGGCAGCAGCAGGGACATGGGCAGCAGCATGGACTAGTGGGGTTGCACTCGGGAGATTTGATGGGGCGGGAAAGTGTGGAGGGGCAACAAGAACACTCGGAGAGTGTTCCAATGCACCGTGACCGTGGTTTAACCCCACCTGCTGATTGGGTCGTCGAGATCGAGGACCTTGAGGAAGGAGCGGACGAAGAGACTGATAGTCAGGAAGATGAAGAGGAAAATACAGGGATAGTGGACGAGCAACAAGGGCCTGCCACAATGGTCACAAGAGCTGTGGAGACAGATGGAGACGTGGGAACAAATGATGATGCTCCGGAGCTGGAATGTGAAGGTGGTGTTGACGTAGAAGACGGCTCATCTGATGACGAGTGTGACTGTGATGAAACGGATGCAGAAGAGGGGGAGCAGCAGCTGGATCCTACGCAAGGTATGGAACAGGGTGTGACCTTAGAGGTCCTTACGATGGGAGATGCTCAGCTGCAAATGGAGGGCCCACACGGAACCTGTGACGAGGTGCCATCTGCGGACGATACAGGCATGCAAGTACCAGGTCCTGATCCAGACACAACCGGCAACATCTCTTACATCCCCAGCGCAGCCACAGCCTCAAGTGTTACCCAAGGTGTTGGTGACGCACAGCCGATGGATGCAAGCCCCCCTCAAACCTCAAATCCTATGGCGCCATTCTGGTCACATGTTCATGTGCAAGCCCAGCCTAATGACAATGAGCCAGTAGCAACGCGACGGCTAAGACGAAGACAGAGGTTCAGGTTACAGGTTGAGGTGGTCCCCGAGGAAGATGAGGAGGAAGGGGGAGGGGGTAAGGAGGATGAGGACTCCGATCTTGGGCACGGACGCACACAGCCTGGTGGTCGAAGGGTTCGAAGGAGACAAAATCGAACACAACGTCCACGTCAAGGTGGTCGAGCAACTGGGAGATCTAGGGGACAGGGTCCTATGGTTCAGCTGCAGCCTGATGCAACACTGCTGATCCAGCAGCTGCAGCAACCGATGATGCAGTTGCAGCAGCAGTTGAACCAGCAGCAGACCCTTCCAATACATCATCAGCAGCAGCAGCAGCCACTGATGCAGCAGCATCAGCAGCAGCAGCAGCAGCAGCAGCCACTGGTGCAGCAGCAGCAACAGCAGCAGCAGCTACTGATGCAGCAGCAACAGCAGCCACTGATGCAGCAGCAGCAGCAGCCACTGATGCAGCAGCAGCAGTTGCAGCCACTGATGCAGCAGCATCAGCAGCAGCCACTGATGTGTTAACGGGAGTTGTGTTTGGCCCCGTCCTCGCTTGGGCGGAGCCGATCTTGTGGTCAGGTGTGCGGGGGATGCAGCCGACCTGCAGCAGTGGGTACGGGGGCCACTGCAAGGGCGTTGAGCTGGGGGGCGCCTGGCTGGAGGGCGCCGAACAGGTGGACGCCGTCCCTGGTGGCGTCCTGGACGCCTGGACGGCGTCCTGGGAGGCTGGACGCCGACCTGGGCGTCTGCTCGGCGTCCCAGGCGCTTGGACGCCGACCTGGGCGCCTGGACGGCGTCCTGGGCGAGTGGACGCCGACCTGGACGCCAGGACGCCGACCCTGGGACGCCGGGTTCAGTGTAGCCGGCGACCGACTGGGCTGGACAACCAGGCGGGGTTGCCCGGAAGACCAGGATACCCGGGCGACGTGTGCGAAGGTTGTCGGGAGGTGGTTTCTGCGAGGACGACCTCGGGGGTGGTATCCCGAGGTCGACGTGGCAGGTGGGCGTCGTCACGGGTGGAATGACTGCGCTGGGCACGTGACGGGGTGTTGGACGCCAACCAGCCGCGCACACCTGCGAAGCAGGTGCACCGTTGTCCTGCGGGTGCAACGCTGTGCAGCCGACTTGCTGCAGCGTTGGCACACCGTGGACATGCAACGCTGGCGCACCGCATCTCTGCAGCGCTGGAGCGATGCGAGCATTGCTGCGCTGGAATGCGGTCGACCGTGCTGCGCTAGAGGTCGATCAGCAGCCAGCGTTGTTGCTATCATTCTTGTGATGTAGTCTGTGTTGCCAACGTTGTTGCTATCATTCTTGTGAACTTTTCCTAGTGGAACTCTTGCCAATTCTCCCCGTGAACTAGCAAGTAGTGTGCGCACAAGGAAACGACTAAGGAACGAACGAACGCAGAGATCACTCCTACCCCGTGCCTAGCCCGTAGTCTAGCTCCCGTTGACAGAGTTATCTCCGCATGGTGCGGTGAGCGTGGACGACACCACGACGTCACCTTCGGTTTAGCCTACTTCGTACTCACCTAGCTAGTTCGTAGGCCGGCGGTCGTGCTTGGACGCCATGGTGGACCCCGTAGTTGAGGCGGGTGTCATAGACACCCTGGAGGCACGGCTGGAGGATGCGAGGAGACGCCATGCGGCGAACGAGTACGGGACTCTCCCGCTGGCGGTCGTCGAGGCTGGCATCCGTGCCGTGTGGGCGACGGAGTACCCTTCCCGACCGGCGTCTCCCCGACCGGTGAACAACGCAGGCGGCGTCGACGTGGGCGTCAACGCTGGTTATCAGTTCGGCAGCAGTGCGGGAGGCACGTCGAGGCAGAGAGGAGTGATACACGCCGATGAAGTCGGCGGCGTTCAGGCGCGAGGAATGCAGTCGTCGGCGGCTGCAGGGGCCTCGCAGGGCGACGTCGGAGGCCGACGAAGTGGATTGGCGCCGATGTTGGCGACACACGTGACGGCGGGAGGGATTGCGCCGAGCTACGGCTACTTCAAGTTTACGCCGGACAGGATCTCGGTCACCCCCCTGCTCGTCGGTCGACCCGACATCCTCACGTGGAAGGAGGCGATCGAGCCTCAGCTGGAGATGGCCGGGCTGATCGGCTTCGCCCGCGGCACCGTGGCGACGCCGGAGGAGATCTACCCCGACCTGCGTGCGGAGTTTCGCGTTGTGCAGCTGCTGACCTTCACGGTCATTTCGCGGTGCTGCTCGCCGGGCGTGCAGATCGCCTTGAAGCCATGTAGGGACTACCTATACGCCGTCCACCGGGCGTGGCACTTCATCGAGTCGACGTATCAGGTCACCGACGACCTGTACGTCAGCCAGCTCGAGGAGCAGATGACGCATCTGCGGATGGGCGACCAGGAGACTGCGACCGATTACTGCAACCGGGCTCGGCGACTTCTCGCCACCATGAGGATGTCTTGCGTGCAGTACTCCACGGCGTCGTATGTCACGCACGTCCTGAAGGAACTCCCGAGAAGCTACAACCTGCTGAAGTGGCTGTCGGTGGTGCCGAGCACACGGGCAACGCTGAACGAGGACTCCCTTACCTCGTACATCCTGCAGGATGAGGCGATGCAGGAGGCCGAGAAGTCCTCCGAGCTCTTGCTGCAGGCAAACTACGTGACCTCGGCGAAGCAAGGTAGCCGAGGGCAGCGCGGCAAGCCTGGCGGCGGTGGTATCGGAGGCGGGAAGCCGGCCAAGGACGCCGACAAGGGTAAGTCGGCGAAGGAAGGCGGTCGCGGAGGAGGAGGTCGGCGTCGGGAGTGCTGGATCTGCCGCAGCCCCGATCACCTCTCCTTTGAGTGTCCCGACCGCAGCGAGTCCGACGACGACGACGCCAAGGGAGGCCGCGGGAGGTCGGCCAGCCGTCGTCCACGTCGAGGAAACCAGCCGCGCAAGGAGAAGCAGTCGCAGATGACCACGGCGAAGGACGCCAACTCCTCTGCTAGTGGCAAGGGGCGAGGCGACAGGGAGGCGTCGTGCTCACTGGTCGGCGTCGTGGAGCCGACCGTCTCACTGGCGCCGGAGGCCGGTGAGGATTTCCAGGCGGTGGCAGCAGCCGTGCAGGCGAACCCGGCGGTGGTCCTGCTGGACAGTGGCTGCTCCCACCACCTGATGGGGACGCTGGAGGTCTTCGTCGACATGGGGCCGAGCGGCGACGTTAAACACGTGCGCGGCTTCAATGGGGCACTGCAGGACGTCAAGGGACGGGGCACGGTTGCGCTGCAAGGGGAGGCCGGGAAGCGTGTGCTCATCCCCGACGTGCTGTACGTCCTGGGCGTGCACGCGAACCTGCTGTCGGCCGGTCAGCTGAAGGAGAACGGCGAGAAGCTACAGGACGACGGCGACGGGATGCTGCTCGTCTCGGCGACGGGCGACGTGCTCGGTCGAGCAACGTACTCCGGCCGGGTCCTCTGCACCGACCTGCGTCCTTGCCCGGTGACGACTGCGGCGGAGGAAGTGGCCCTGCGGGCAATTGTCTCGGCGACGAAGGCGACGCCTGATAGGCTGCACGCGAGGCTCGCGCACGTCGGCATGGACACCATCCGGAGCTCGGCGAAGCACGAGGTAGCCACCGGGCTGGACCTCAAGTCGGCGTCCGGAGCTACTTCGCCCTGCGTCTCGTGTGTCGGCGGGAAGCTGGCGCGGCACTCCTTCCCCGACAAGGGCTCGGACGCCGAGGACGCCCTGGCCGTCGTGCACATCGACCTGTGCGGGCCATTTCGTGTGGCTGCCAAGGATGGCAGCCTGTACTTCCTGCTGCTGAAGGACCGCAAGACCCGCTACGTGTGGGTGAAGCCGGTCGCCAGGAAGTCCGACGTGCTGCGGGAGTTTGAGCAGTGGCTGGTGTTGGTCGAGCGGCAGGCGAAGAAGTCGGTGCTGCAGCTGCGATCTGACCGGGGAGGGGAGTTCCTCGGGAAAGAGTTCACCGCCTTCGTGGACGGCAAGGGGATCATCCACGACCTGACCTGCCCGTACACCCCGCAGCAGAATGGCATGGCGGAGCCCGAGATGAGGAAGGATGGTGGAGTCGGTGCGGATGATGCTGCTGCACATGGGCGTGCTCCACCATTGGTGGCACCTCGCCCTGCGGCAGGCCGTCTGGGTCCGCAACTGCCTGGAGCGCTCGTCGCTGCCGCCGGGGACGACGCCGTACCAGCTGCTCACCGGGAAGAAGCCCGACTTGTCGCTGGCCCACGTGTGGGGCTGCATGGCGCAGTTCCTCGTCCCTGCGCAGCAGCGCGACGGGAAGCTGAAGCCGAAGGCCAAGTGGGGCCTCCACCTCGGCGTGTCGGAGGAGAGCAAGGGCTGGGAGCTCCTTGACATCGCCGACAACAGGGTGGTCACCACGTCGGACGTG